ATGCAAATTATTCATACCTATATCATATCCCCTTTAAATGTAAAAGAACATTTATAAACCATATTTGGGGACATGGGTGCAGGTTTTTCTCTCCAAACTGCTTCCTGCTGAATGGGGGCATTTTTATTTAGGTCTTTCATGGTATAACCTGTGTGCTAGTTTCATCTCAGTTGGCAGTTGAGCGAAGAAATTTTCTGAAGGTATTCACAGCAACCATTCAGAAGGGCGTGGTTCATCATACCATATTGGGATAGAGGCAATCCACAGACTCTCACCCTCTGTGAAAACAAAATAAGAAACTCCTTTCCAAAGCATCATGTCCTTAGATCCAAATTTCAAAGTCAAGGCATTTTCAAAATATCTATGTTGGATTAGTTCAGCAGCATTTATAAAAAATATCTTTTAACAGCTGTTGCTCTTTTCTCAGCATTCAAACAATTCAAAGAGAGCATAAAAGCATACAGTATCAAGATTCTCTGTGTATTTTCCATCTTTGTGCGGCTTTATTTTAACTCTATTTTGTATATTTTACTTTTATTTTATATTCTCTGTATATCTTTGTCCTGGGATAACTCTGTAGACCAGGCTGTCCTTGAACTCTCAGAGATCCACCTGTTTCTGCCTCCCAGGCATTGGGATTAAAGGTGTACGCTACTACACCTTGAACTCACTGAGATCTGTTTGTCTCTGCCTTCTGGGCACTGGGATTAAAGGCGTGTGCTACCACACCTTGAAGTCACAGAGGTCAATCTCCCTCTGCTTCCCAAGCGTTGGGATTAAAGGTGTGTACTACCACACCCAACTACTCTCTTTCTTCCTTTTTTTTACTTTTAAGAACTTTAACTTTTAGCTTGCATATATTTTTAACACACTGTAAATCATTTAAAAGTTTTCTTTTTTCCTATGTCACCCTTTCCTACTCACTGAACTGTAGACCAGTGACTTTCAAATCACTGTGCTTATATGTCACCTGGACAGCCTGCCAAATCAGAAAACTCACTGAAGGAAGCTTCCCCAACCGAGATTCTGAGTCAGCAGGGTTACAGTGTGGTCTGAGAACCTGTAGTTTTGTGGAGCTGCCAGGTGATGGTGAGGCAGAGCAGATGGTCTCACACATGATATCCTGTCCCTCGATGGAGCTGCTCTCTCGGATTCCTTATCCTCTACCTCTGCCTGGAATGTTCTCCTCCTTGGCTCATTCCTCATTTCCCATCTTTGAGAGGTCATCTCAGCTCACCTCAGCTTATTATGAGGTCAGACAGACCAACACTGCACTCATAGGGTTACATGTACAATTCTGTTGACTGTGGGGGAACAACTGTCCCCTCACTGCTGGACTGAGAGAACAAATGTTGGGTCATGTCTGCCTTGTTCAGTGAATTGCCTTCAGATTCCAAAATAGTGTAAGACGCACAGCACAGTAGGTCTGCAGGAATGTCTGCTGAATGAGTGGCTGACCCTTCTAAGTCTTTCATGTGCATCTCCATTTCATATGTGTCATAGTGTTTAAGAACTTGAGAACAGATGATATTCATGGTTGTGAACTAAAATTGACTAAACCGGGATAACATGGGGCTTCAGGGTAGTCTCTGGAGTGGAAGATGACTTTCCTGTCCTGTGGCTTCCCCTTCAACCCATAGTACAATGTATGCATGTGCACATGTGTAGCTACTGCTTTCATTTTTCCAGTGGTCTGGATTCACCGCCGGCTACTATTGTCTAACATTAATCACATTTGCTGTGCCAGAGAGGATTCACTACTAATTCATGTTTCTGCTTCCCAATTGAAGAAGTTAAGAGGGATGTTATATGATTCTATTTTTTAAATCCATACACACACACACACACACACACACACACACACACACCTCACTTTAATTGCTGTGGTTCCTACTTTCTTCCTGACTCTGTTTGTATTTCCCAGCACCTCAGGACCCCTTTTCCCACCTCTCAGTCATGAACTAGCCACATAGGACCTGGGTTGACCAATAGGAGTTCTGTGTCCACCCCTTACCATGTGCTGTAGATGAGCAGCTGTGGATTCGCTGTCTCCACGGCCCTGAGCTCCATCATCACTTGGTCACTGACAGGGGCCTGGTACAGCCTGCAAGCATAAGAGGGACTGTTTCTTCTGGGATCCACCACAGGATCATGAGGCCTCTGAGTCTGGGATCCTGGACTCAGCCAAAACCAGGACAAGGGATGGAGAGCAGCAGTCTGAGTAGAGGAAGATGTGCCCATGACACAGTCTCAGTTGGGCTTGTTCAGTGTGCATTGAGATCTGAAGCCAGCAAAAGGACCTTTGTAACTTTGTAATGCTGAAATGAGGGCCTGGTCCTTTATATCCCTCCCCTATATATCAGTCATTGGATATAGACTGTCTCAGGGAAGGAAACATAGCTATAGATGAGGGATTCTTTCTGACAAAGGGCAACACAGAAGCCTCCATTCTCATGAAGGTCATGGCCATATCCCCAAAAGGATTCTTGACAGATCTTCAAAGTAAACACATAGTTCTGGGATCATGGGTACTCACATTGTGAGAAAGAACCTTGGTTTCCTTCTCTCCTCCCTCCCTATTTCTTTAGTGCTAAGGGAGGAAGCCTTGTCCTTACACAGCAGACACAACCCGAGGTCTGTTAGTCCCATTCTTTTGATTCTCAAGTTGTAGTATTTATGTGTGTTAGGTAGTGACCTTCTCTGGATTTCTCTGTCCTCAGTCCATAATCACATATAAACACATCACTCCCATCTGCCTGCTGTGATGCACAAACAAAGCTGGAGGGGAAAGGCTTCTGTATCCTTGAAAGGCTGTCACATGACACATAGCAGAGGCCAGCTCTAAACAGGTTTTTCAATGAATGAGAAGCAGTGGTGGCTGAAAGTAGGTTATGGAACAATGGAGCCAAGCAGCTGGTACAGTTTCAGCCCCCAGAGAAGTGGAAATAAGACTCTTGACCGATCAACTTCTCCTTTAGCTTTAAGAGTTGAACCAGAATGCCTGACAGAGGGAAGTCTTCGCAAACAGGTTTCCTGGGCTTCTTTTGGCTGGAAGAACCAGAAAGCTCTGGCTACATGGTGTTGGGAGCCTTTCTGGTTCTCTGAGCCCATGAGGGAATTGGACAACAATCTCTGGGAAGTTCCTCCAGAAGCTGGCTGTGGGCTTGTGCTGGGGAGGTGGAGGTTCAGGAGAGGGAGAAGCTTAGAGACAGCATGAAGGGGCTGAGTGGAGGACAAGGGTCTCTAAGGCTATAGTTTGGAGGTTTGCCTAGCTTGTATGAAAATCTAGTGAAGGGGGAATGGCACTATCTCTGGTACAGAGAATTGCCTCAGGCTCCTGTCATGAAACTCCATGCCACTTCCTGTTCCAGAGCTTTGCCCATATCTGCCTTTGACTGAGATGCTATCTCCTGATTGGCCTAACCAAGTCCTATTTCTCCTTCAGGCCTCAGAGAATGCCTCCTGGGAAACTCAGTAAAGTTGACTTTCTCACAGCATTACACTCTCACAATATCATTTGTCTCTGCAGCATTCAGCAGAGCTTGCCAATACTGAATCACAGGCTCACAGGTGATTTATGTCTGTCTCTTTCCACACAGCTTCAGGAAGACAAAGTGATTGTATCACTAGAGTCTGGACCAATGCTTACACATAGGGGCCTGATATGAATGTGTGGTTGTACGGATTAATGAATGAATAAATGATTGAAGTACTGTCCTGGAACATGGCAAACCTTCAAGTCCATTAGGATACAAAGCCTTGCTAATGCATATGATTCCACTGTGCCCAGCTACCTACATATCTGTCTTTGATTTTACAGTGTATATTTTTGTATCATTACAGTCCTTGAGGAGGATATGTCATTCCATTACTTAGATGAGAAAACTGAGTTTTAGAGAAGAAAATGACTTCCCCAATTCCTAGGGTTTAAGTGGCACAGCTTTGTGTTATCTGTCCCTTTTCTTTTCTATGCCCTGTATTCTGCAGCTCCCATGTCTTTTCCCTGCCTTTCTTCCAGAAGGGAATCTCAGGATTTTACTTACCTCAGAATTTTAAGGTTGCAGGCAGGATTTCCAAGCCCCTTACAGAGCAGCCTAACACCATGGTCACCCAGGTCATTCAGCTGCAGGTCTAGCTCAGTCAGGCTGGAGCTGGTACTGAGCACTGAGGCCAGGTCCTCACAGTGGCTGGATGTGAGGCCACAGTTGACAAGCCTGCATGGGAGATGCTCACCATCAGATTCTCCAGAGATCACTGCTCTTGGGAACTGAGTTCAGGTCTCCCTTTGTGAATGAGCCCTGTCATGCTGTTGCAACAACTTAGCTCTCTGGAGTGCCTTTTCTTGTCTTGGTGGATAATTTTGTGCTTCTCACAGCTGAGCAGCAGGAGAAATTGAGTACAGGTTGGGGACCACTGCTCTACTGTGTCTGTCTCATCATGTGAAATCTTTGTAAAGATGGAATCCACAGAAACAGAACAGAAGGTAGTAACAGGGGTGACCTTCCCTGGGCCAGGAGCTTTCAGCCCTTCTGCTTCACTTTGTCTCTCTGTTCTTCAGCTCTCCTAAATCCTTTCTTAGGAAGGTTGCTCCACTACTGATCTCATGAACTGTTGATAGTGGAGCTTTTTGATGAATGTCAGTCTCTCATGATCCCCAAGAATCCTATTTACCATAGCAAATCTGGCCATATGTCACAGGTATGGTTTAGAGAGTTTGGTGAATATATGATGAATACCAAACCTCACCTTAGACTCAGGTTTTGCATTTGTGGTCTCTATTCCACCCACTCGTGCTTCAGGAGAGAACCCAGGCCTGACTCACCACAATGTCTTTAGGCGACATTCAGGGCATCTCATGGTCCTACATAGGCTCTTTACTGCAGAGTAGCTCAATGGATTTCCACTTAGGTCCAGCTCCTCCAAGCTTTCTGTTATCTCAAGAGTGGAGAAGAAAATCTGCCAACTGGTATCCGTGAGAGGGATCCACCTGGACCTGAGAGAGAGAGGCTAGGCATGAAGGACATGAATTGTGAGTGCATGGCCTGAGGTGCACAGCCCCACACAGCGGCTTAGGTTTCTATCTACCTGAGCACCAGGCTTCAATATGCCATTCCCAGGATTCACCAGCTTCTACCTGCTCCTTTCCTCCAAAATCTGTGTCCTCTCCTCTAGGTTGTTCCTCATCTTCATTCTTATCATAACATGCTGTGTGTTTATTTTGTGTGTCTGTTTCTAACTCAGTCCAGGTGTCCCACAGAGTATGATCAGGTTGTTGGCATCTTTCATTTTAAAATGCCCAGAACAGGAACTGGTACAATGGAGGACCTTGGTAATTCAGGAAGTCTTCCTTTTTTTATGTGAATGTACCTGCTTTCCTTTGGAGCAGAATTTTAGGGTATCATGAAGGAAAGCTGGAAACAGGTAGTGGGAGCAGAACTAAGGAGAAGTGGCTGAGAACCACTCTCTAATGGGATTTTGAGAATGGCCATAAACTCTACAGATATAATGATTCACATGGCCTTAATTCTTTACAAGAATAAAAGTCTGCAGAAAAGGGTGAGAAAAGGGAGGAAAAGATTNAGAGAGAGAGAGAGAGAGAGAGAGATTATCCCACAGTGGTAGTGCAGTCCTTTAATTCCAGAAACCAAACATATGAAGGCAGGAAAGTGGTGAGTTCTAGGCCAACCTAAGCTATAAACCTGAAGGGACAGGGGGTAGCTCTAAGCCTGACCTGTGCAACATTCTATCCTAAACTTTACAAACAAAAAATAAATAACAAACTAAAAAAAACAGCTCCAGAAAGCAGAAAGTATAGGATATTTCATTCTAATTTTATAAAATCAGAGAAATGTCAAGGAAAGCAAATACTAAACTTCAAGGATGGTGTTTTTTCAGGGCTTTATTTATTTTTTACTTTATTTATTTTTACCTTAGTATGCCTGCTTGTCTGTGTGCAGTATATGCATGTAAAAGCCCGCAGAGACTAGAAGCAGGGCCTAAGATCCTCTGGGACTGTGGTTAAAGGTGGTTGTGAGCCATCTATGTCGGTGCTGAGAATAGATCCACATCCTCTATAAGAGCAGCAAGTGGTCATAACCATGGAACCACTCTTCCAGATCCCAAAGGATTGTAGTTTTAATGCACATTTAGGATGTACACTGACTTCAAGTGAAACTTCAGAATGTGCTCTTCAAAAAGCCTGAGGTGCCATTATGAGCCACACATATAAAAACTGCTTGGATGCCTTAGTTTCTTGGACTTGTTTATTCCCTTCCCTTGGCTTTGGCTAGTATCTTTTCTTTTGTAAGCAGGCTGGTGTTTCTGGTTGTTCCTTTCCTATATCTCCCAAGAGAATACAATGTTATTCAGAATGGCATTGCACTAGATCTTTAGTAACCAGAGGAGACAGCCTTGATTCACTAAGAAAATAAATGTGAATATAAGATAACAGAGATAGAGTGACTCAGTTTTCCCAAAGAAAAGTATATAGTAAAAAGATTAGGCCTGGTGGTGGTGGCATACTTCCAGCAATTAGGAGGCAGAGACAGGTGAATCCCTATGAGTTAAAGGCCAGACTGATCTATAAGAGCTCATTCCAGTACAGCTAGGACTGTTACACAGGGACATTCTGTCTCAAAAAACAAAATCAAAAACAAAAAAAGATTAAAGGGTATATCACAATTTTTCTTTCATGTTGTGGCTCAAACACACATGGTCTTGAGCTTGTTAGGTGTTGTGTTTTAAAAGAGATTTCACCTAGAATCATGGGCATTTGAATGCTTGTTCCTCAATTGATGGCACTCTTTAAGAAGGCTTAGGAGGTGTGGCTTTGTGGGAGTAAGGATGTCACTGGGGGGCCAGCTTTAAGATTTTAAAGCCTTGAATCATCTCCACTACTTCACACTTTCTGCTTCCTTCTTGTTCCAAAATATGAGCTCTCAGCTGATTGTCCAGTAACCATCATTTCCCTCTGCCATGATGGACCCTGATCCCTTTGTAACCATAAGCCCAAAGAAACTCTCCTATAACACAAATAATCAAGACAATATCTCTACCAATGATCTACATCCTTACTCTTTGATATTTTGAGACAGCGTCACACTATGTAGTCCAGGCTGGTCTGGAACTTCTGTCCTTTTTGCCTCAGCCTTCTAAGTTTATGAAGACAGGTGTGCATGACTAAGCTTAGTTACCCCAATTCTTAATGCTGTTCTCTCTGAGAAATGGAATTGTGGTTGATACAAATTTTGGTTATTCTGATTTTAGTTGATATAACTTTGCCTTTCTGTGATGAGCATGTTTTTAGTTAGGTTATCCTAATCATATAAAATGAGTCATTGAGACAATTTCCTACATGTGTATAACATAGTTTGATACTATCTGGGCTATCTAACAGGTTTTCTCCCCTCTCCTCATCTTCTTACAGTTTTCTAACAGTTGCTCCCCTACTATTAAGTCATTTACTTTTCTTGTGGGCTTTTGCTGTGTTATTCAGATTGTTGTTGAAGTCAAGGAACCTATCTTCTTTAGTCTCCTAAATTATGGGATCTCAAACTTATGCCTGCAAATCCAGCTCAGTTTATCTGGAGAAAAGTTCCAATGTGTAAAAATTGAAGATTTAGAATAAAATTATTTCTTACTCTGAGAACCTCCCTTCCTATATACATAATATGTGTCTGATATTTGCAAATATCACACTCATGTAATTAGTGTATTTGATTGCCTTATCACTTTTTAAGATCTTCATGGTAGCACCTGTATATTTCCTCCTGTAATTGATTGGTCAGGCCTGCAATAAAATGAGTGCTTAATGAATTTTGATGGTGTGGGTCATCTAGAGAGGAAAGAGACACATACTGCTACTGAGTCACCACTACAGCACAGTAGAAGGGGACCCTGAAAGGGGAAGTCTACCTTGCTGCTGGAATTGGCAGGAAATTAGGAAGGTAAGGATGAGGGTCAGGACCATGTTCCCTTATATGAATACATACAAGGAAGTCATCTGGGAAGGGAAAATATAGGGAGTCTCACATATATTCATTCTGAGATGATGTGGGAAGACTTCATGGCCAAGATTACGACCATGGGGATAGAAGATGGTGTCCACAGGAGCTGAATGAGCAGTCTCTCTGAGAGAAAGGATGTAAAGAGAGATAATCAGTCACTGTGGGCCATTTGAACCCTGTGAAAGGTGAAGAAGATTTGAATCAGAGCAGGTAGGTGGTTGTCAAGGCATAGGAAGAGATAAAAATTCATAGCCCCATCACAAAATCAGGCATATAGCTGAAAGTAGAGAAAGGTGGTCAGATTCAGCTATTACATGTCACTTGTGACTTGTATCCTGCTGTCCTGAGACCATCGAAGGGTGCTGATGGTGCTCAGAACATGTGTATGCATGGATTGACAGGGAAGCTGGAGCAAGGGCTGAGCCTCAATACTCACAGAACCATCCTAGGGGTCGTTACCATTGGTCCATGCTGTCCACAACCATTCAACTGAAGTCTCTTCACATGGTGGCAGAACTTAACGCAGAAAGTGACTACCATGAGATCCACATCTGTCTGGATTACCAAGTGCTTCACATTTGTCTGGAACGCTGGGTGTGACATATCTGTCAGATAGCACGCCTTTTTATTTTGGAGATTTTGCAGCATCCTTATCATGATTGTCTCATTATGATTCTCATAAATACAATAAAACAACCCCAGAGAATAGAGATGCTGGTGCTCAGGAAATGCCCGGACTTTATTCAGAATTTTCCAGAGGGTGTGGAAAGGTGAATGAGTGGTGAAGATCTTCTTCATCTCTTTCCCTTCCGGTTTATTTAAAAGTCCAAATAGGAAGCGTATGGTGGGTGCCTCAAACAAGTCTTGCATTCCATACACTTCTGTCAGTGTTTCCACAACCCTGTAGTTTTCCATATCATCATATCTCTCTTCATCACAAAAGATGCAGAACATTGCTGCTAAGAACTCCTGTAGACACAAGTGGGGAAAGCTATAACTCAAAGAGCTGGGCTGCTTTTGAAGGATACCAATCTTCAAGAAAATGTCAATAACATCCTCAGTTAACCTTTGCTTCCAAAGATCTCTCTCACTGAACAGGGTCCTTCTACTGCAGATCCCCTCAGCAGCCAGTGAGCAGAGTCCTCTGAGATAGGTCTCTATGACAGATTCTGGGAGAGTCTGGAAAAGGTATTTCAGGCAGAGTGCTGTGGTGGTCTGTGAGGTTAGTGAGAGTTCTCTTCCTTGCTCTATCTGCTGTTTCAGGCAAGTGCAGACCAGCCAGGACACCCAGGGTATCATACACAGTGTTGAGAGTACTGGGTTTGAGTCAACCAAAGTAAAAACTGCTTCTCTTTTCTCTGTGAAATATTTGTAGAAATATTCCTTTCGTCCAGACTCAGAGAAGCCCAGGACTTCCACCCAACGTGGCTGCTTCAATGGAGTAATGAGTTTCTTCAGAACTGTGGTCCTAGCTGTGAGCAGCAAAGAAGCCTCAGGAAGGACTGATTTCTCCAGCAAACTGGCCAGCAGTGTGTGCACAGGCTGTGGCTGGCTCCAATGCAGGCATAGTTCAGGATTCTGATCCTCCAAGACCCATGCTGGCTCATCTATGCCATCCAAGATGAAGAGCAGCTTCTCAGGGTGAGACAGGATCTGCCTGATGGGAGCTATAGGCACACCCTGGTCTTTTGCTATGAGCTCAGCAAGACTCAGCTGCTTGCACTGGGACAGCTCTCTGCAGCTGAAGTAGAAGACATAATGAAAGCGATCCCTATAGAGTTGACTTTCCCCCCATGCTCTCCTCACCTGCCTGGCCAGGGTTGACTTCCCAATCCCAGCAGCCCCCTCTAATATGACTAATTGAGGCTCTTTTTTGGTATCTGGGCTTAGACCAAATAAGTCTTGGATCTCAATCAGATGACCACTCTCCTCTGCTACACAATTACACCAGCTTTTCCTAACCATAGTCTTCCAGCCTCTTCTTGGGCAAGGTTTTTGAAGAAGTAGTAGCTGTGTGAAATTTTTGAGCAAATCCTCTGTTTTCCAGGACTCAGTGTGGTAAAGAGTCTCTATTCCTTCATTCTGATGTATTTCTGAAATAAATCATAAGTTATGAAAGAAAAATGGAGCATAAGTGAACTCATTAGTGTTTGTTCCTTTCATTTTATCTTTTCTCTCTTCCTTCTACCCTTTAACAACTGTATGAAATTTGGCATCTGTCTAAGCTGTACAACATACTGGCTATGGGCACTGAACAGTGTAGGGCATGGAATGTGAGTTTTAGAGTAGAAGAATCTAGTTTAAGTCTTCACTTGACTAATAATAATAATGCTGTACGTTGTGTATGTATCACTCTGCAGATATTTACTGATGTCTTAATCTGTGTCAAACCTACTCTCATGGTTGAGAATAAAGGGTAAGTTCACAGAGGTAACTATGTCGTTATTCCTATATGGGATGATCCACCAACTTCACTGAACTTCTGTTTTCCCATTTTAATATGGGGGCTGTGATCTCTACTGCAGGAAACCATGGAATATTGGAGAGATTATAAACAGTGGAGACAATGTTTGCTCCTGACAGATCCAATTGGCCCCCATCATTGCAGACCTGACATAATTCTGTAATTTTTGAGGCCTGGATCTGAAGGGATTTTCTTAGGTTGCTATAAATTCATGTTTTAGGACACATACTTAGACCTCTTTCTCCATGCCTGACAATCCCACAGGTATTTTGTATTGTCTTCTAGTATCTTTGGTATCAACAATCCTTATTTGTGGCATTGTCTGGATGTCTTTTGTTCCCATTGAAATTTATGTTGAAACTCAGTTGCCAATATAGCTGTATGGGGACAGGGTTTAGTATGAGTGCTTAGAGTCATGAGGCAGAGTCCTTAATAATTGATCAATATTTTTCTTCTAGGAATGGAGAAGTTTTTGTGGAAAAAGGTTCCCTTTTTCTCCTGTAGGTACCTGTTTGCCTGTATACTTTCTCTCACTTAAGTTGAGCATCTGTAGTCTCTACTTAGACTTCCAGGCTCCAGAAGTATAATTCAATATATATGTTCTAAACAAACAAACAAAAAAAAAACAAAAACCACAACCACTGAACATGGTAATTCATCACTCAGAAGCGAGAGGCAGGAGAATCAGGGCCTCAGGGCAGCTTTTCCACATTCTGAGTTTCAAAACACCCTGGGATATGCTCAATCAATAAATCAATCAAACAAACAAACAAATAACAAGAATTAATGTTACCCAGTCAGAATACAGCTTGTTCCAATACTGAGGGGACTTAAGAGGTGACTGAATAGCCACATGGCGGGATGCCCCACTCTCTAGGACTTCCCCAGTGGTATGAAACCCTGTGCCCCTCCCTCAACTCCCTCAACTTTTCTAGCCAGCCAGCTGGAAGTTTCCTGTGGCTAGTATCCTTCAAACCCAAACCCATCTAGCCCCCATCCAAACTACTAGCCACACCCTGCCCCCAAACTTGCCTATCCTGCAACCTTGGTGGAACTCTGAAACACAGCTTGCTCCAATACTGAGGGGACATAAGAGGGACCAAGAGCTTGCTATAAAACTGAGGTGATTAAGAGAGAGCACCAAGAGAGCAAACCAGGAGAGAAGACCAAGAGAGCAGGCCTATAAAGACCTCAGTGGTTTTCTGAGACAGACATTGACATTACAGAGCAAACCAAGAAAAACTCCCAAGCACTCAGACAGCCACAGCAAGGATTGGACCAAGATGTAAAGACACTGCCAGCTTCATTTGAAGGAAGAGATAGGTAGGCACAAATGCAAGAATTCCTCCAACAACCTAAAAAGAAAATGGTAACACCAGAACCCAGCAGTCACACAACAGGAAGAGTTGATTATCCTAAACCAGAAGAAGTAAAAGAAAACAACTTTGAACATAAGTTTATGAAAATGATGGAAACCTTTAAGGAGGAAATAAAAAACTCCCTTAAAGAAATGGAGAAGACAAGCAAAAAAAGTGGAAGAAAATAATAAATCCCTCAAAGAAACCCACGAAAACCAAGAAAAAACAATCAAACAGGTGAAAGAAACAGTACAAGGCTTGAGGGCTGAAATAAAGGTAATAAAAAAACACAAACCAAAGGAATTCTGAATATGGAATATCTGAGCAAACAAAAAGGAACTACAGAGACAAGTATAACCAACGGAATACCAAAAGATAAAAGAAAGAATCTCAAGTGCTGAAGATACAATAGAGGAAATAATCTCATTGGTGAAAGAAAACATTCAATCCAACAAATTCTTAACACAAAACATCCAGGAAATCTGGGACACCATGAAAACATCAAACTTAAGAATAATAAGAGTAGTAGAAGGAGAAGAACTCCAGCTCAAAGGCACAGAAAATATATTCAACAAAATCATCGAAAAAACTTTCACAACCTAAAGAAGGATATACCTATGATGGTACAAGAAGCTTATAGAACACTAAATAGACTGGATTAAAAAATCCCCTTGCCATAAAATAATCAAAACACACAACATACAGAATAAAGAAAAAATATTAAGAGATGCAAAGGAAAAGGCCTCATAACATATAAATGTAAATATACCAGAATTACACCTGACTTCTCAATTGAAACCATGAAAGCAGAAGGTCCTCCATAGATGTGCTGCAGACACTAAGAGACCACAGATGCAAGCTCAAACTACTAAACTCAGCAAAGCTTTCATTCATCATTGACAGAGAAAGCAAGATATTCAAAGAAAAAACAGATTTGAACAATATGTATCCATAAACCCACCCTTACAGAAAGTATTAGAAGGAAAACCAAAAAATAACAAGAATTAACAACCACTGGTCATTATTATCACTTAATATCAATGGACTCAATTCACCTATAAAAAGACACAGGCTAAGAGAATGAATACAAAACCAGGATATAGTCTTCTGCTGTATGTAAAAAATGCACCTGAACCTCAAACACAGACACTACTTCAGAGTGACGGGTTGGAAAAATGTTTTCCAATCAAATGGATCTAAGAAACCAGTGGGTGTATGTATCCTAATATCTAAAAAAATTGATTTCAAACTAAAATCAATTAGAAGAGATGGAGAAAAACACTTTATACTCAGAACAGAAAAAGTTCATCAAGAAGATGTCTCAATCCTGAACATCTATGCCCCAATACAAGAAAACCCACATATGTAAAAGGAACATTACTAAATTTAAATCACACATCAAACCACACACGCTAATAGTAGGAGACTTCAACACTCTACCCTCGCCAACAGACAGGTCAACCGACAGAAACTGGTCAGAGAAATAAGAGAACTAACAGATGTAATGAATCAAATGGACTTAACAGACACTTATAGAACATTCTATCCAAGCACACACACAAAAAAATCTTCTTTTATTTTTCCAACACATCATGGAACCTTATCTAAAACTGATCACATTCTCAGGAACAAAGCAAACATCCACAGATATAAAAAACTGGAGTAAACACCTATGTCTTATTGAATAATAATGATGAAAGTTAGAATATAACAACAATGCTACTCTCAGAAAGCCTACAAACTCATGGAAATTGAACAGCGAACTACTGAACCACTCCTAGGTCAAAGAAGAAATAAAGAAATTAAGGGGCTACTCTGCCCGATACTTCCTCTCTCTTCCTATCCCACCCAGCTTGCATCCACAACCTCCCCACCTCCGTCTGACTCCCTTCCCTCTTTGACCACATAACATCTCCCAGCCCAGCCTGTTCGGGCTCTAGGACAGAATCCGAATCGGCAGGGCAAACGGGAGGGTGCTAGCTCCTTTGTCCCCACTAGCCTGCCTGCAGCGAGCTAGTAGGTCCTTTGTTTACGAAATACGCAAGGAGACCCGGTCCAGGCACCAGGAGAGACATCACTGGGGTGAGTGAGTTTCTGACTGCGGCAGCAGCCCGGGACAGGGAACTCAGACACCCCTCCTACACTTCCTGGTCATCCTCAGGGGCTACTCTGCCCGATACCT